AGAAACGCCAAAAGGGCTGGTTTGCTTACCTCAAGCCAAAGTTGCTTTGAACGTTCCCTGAGCGGCTTTCCGGCCACATCTACCCTCGCCTTCAAATGACCAGAAATTGTGCAATTGCAGAAATTGACGTGGCATTAACGTGGCATCGATTCAAGAACATCTTTGAGCACACGTGATGTCACCTTTTCATCGAGAATTTAGCCACGTGTGCCAATGCCACGTCAATTTCTGCAATTGCACAATTTCTGGTCATTTGAAGGCGAGGGTATGTGTGTGTGTGATTTGTGTTGTGATTTGTGGACAGAAGGCGATCTTTCCGCTCTTAGCGCGAAACTTTTTCGCTGCGGGAGCTCCAGGTCCACCACTGATCAAGGGTAGTTGTCGGCTTCCAGTCCTAGCGAACCGTACCCCGTCTATGTCGAAGCCAATTTTTCGGACACTGTCATAATTCCCACGAGGAACGTAGCCATACCATCATCAGCGATGGGAGCTACGCCAAAACGATCCCGTGTGGCAGTTTTGCGAACACGCTCCAGTGTGACGCCAGCTATCGAGCGCAACTTTTGGCCGGCGTCAAACCTTAACTCAGCGAATCGCAGGATATGAGCGATGCGCCAGCGATTCGAAAGATGCACCAGCCACTCGACAGTGTGGGATGTAGCGAGAGCCGCTCTCGTCCGCACGTTGTCTCTTGCCATTTTCATGGGCTCACGAGGGCACGAGAGAGCGAGGGGCAGAAGAAGCCCAGGAAAGTGGCGAGGGACAGCGTGGGCATGAGAGGGACTCTCGCCACTTTCTCACACTTTCGAGTCGTTGGCGCATTGATTGTACTCCGCGATCTGCCGGATTCGCGAAGTCTGACACCGGCCTTTTCGTCTCCATTACAACGAGGCGAGCTTCAATTTCCTCATTCATGGGTCAGCACTCAGCAATGCCAATGGCCTCTAGTTGTTTGACGGTTCCTATAGATCTTCGATTTCGAAGCGCTCACTGATATTCTTCTGGCAGAGAACGCCCGTCTTCGAACGCCGCTTTGTCCAAGTTGCTAAGACATTCTTGGCAAAAGCTAGAATTTCTTGGTGGTGGTGAGGTGGTGATGTCCTCATGAATGTTCAAGACCCTGGGTTCATCGCGATAGTGTGGGACAATTCCTGAGAGGACATGTTCCGTTCTAGCAGTTTCCCAAATTTTCGATCCAGTAATCGAACAAAAGCAGTTAGCCCTTGTGTACTTATCGACAACTGTGTGGGACGCATAAACGTTAAACATTCCCTTTAGTCCAGTCTTGGGCTCCACAGGAGTGGGCACGCCCAGCTTTTCACGCATGTCAAGTGACTGCCCCCACCCCCACCCCCTAGATTGGCTACACTCCCCCTGGCTCACGAATTCCCCGATTCTCGTGAGAGTACATATAGTAGCGAGCAACACTTCGATGTCGGTCAGACTTGCGATTGCATCGCGATGGACCAGTGCCGGAGCGACGCGATCGCTCCATCGCTTGTCCATCGCGATGCAATCGCTCTGCCTAGAGCGATTGCGCAATCGCTCTGCCAAAAGTGCAAGCGGCGGGCAATGGCCCGCCGCGATCGATACCGATGTCGACTGCATCGATCGTGGCGAGGCGGGGCCAATCGCCCGTCGCTCCCACTCTTGCGCCGAGCGACTGTAGCGGGCGATGCAATCGCAGAGTCTGACCGACATCTTCCACTTACATGTACATTTCTGTTCAGAAAATGCGGCGTGCCTACCCTATTTGTATAGCACCCAACTTTGACTATTCGGTATAATGTTTCTTCAATGAAATAATCACAGAGCGAGTAGCTCAAATAGGAGCACGATTCCAAAAACAAAAGATATTACGCGCACTGTTGTTGTTGACGCCTTGATGCTTAGGCCGTGCGATAAGTGTGCAATCACGACACATCACGATACAGAAAACGAATCTCAATGGCTATTCCAACATAATGAACTGAGCGAATAAGAAAAGAATTTGGTCTCCCTTCAAATGCATGGCTTAGATGAACTATTTCGCAAATTTCAGACATGTTCACATATCAGGCTTCTCCAGGAAGCATTAAACACAATCTGTTAGGTGGAAGGTCTCGAAGAACGGCGGATGGTTGATCCTTGGTACTATTCCACTACTACTGCCCCGTAATCTCAGATTTTTTTTCGTGAAGCCCCTTTAGTTATTGAGGTATTTTAATGCCCTGACTACTAATATTATATTCGTTTTAGACGTTGGCGCCATATTTCGCCAGTTGGCGCCACTTGGTCGACATGGCTGTTTTCACCAAATTCGGTGTAAACTTGTATGTAGGGGTTATTTGGGTGTCCTGATTACGAATATGAAATTTATTTTTAGCGTGGGTGCAGTTTGGCGTATATTTTTCGATCTACGCCCTCGCGATCAGGGCTAAACCTCTGGGAATAGGAGGATCCTAGGGGAGCAAGTCACAGTCACTGTGATCTCACACACTTCTACTCCTGCCATACGATTCGTAATTTACCCCATGAGCTTTCCGCTTCCCAACAAGCTTACTCCTAGGCACTGTACCTAAGTGAGAGGCCAGGAGCGCAGAAAATATGCGTTAGACTGCGCCAATTCCGATAAATAATGTCGTATTCGCAAAAGGACCCCAAAGAAGCCCACAATTTAAACGGGATTTGGTGAAAACAGCCGTAGCGACGGAGTGGGTCTAGCGCTAAAAACGAATATCATATTCGTATTAAGGACATACCTCAATTGGCAAAGTTCCGACAAAAATTGGTTTTATTATTTATTTTGAGATTTTGGGGCATTAATAGTGGAATAATGCCGTATAATCAAAGAAGAATCTCTGGGGATGTCCTAGCCCGCTGTCTTGAGTCTGCGAATTGAATTCAGAACGACAATAGCACGCTCTTACGAAGAACTTAGTGTCAAAACAATTGATGGTACCGCCATTTTTGGACCTAGAAGTTCACATTAGCGGCCATGCCATTTCACAGATTACCCTTCAAATTTGGAATAGTACATCCGAAGTTACAAAAATTCATTAGCTATATAGCCACGTCATGAAAATTAAATCAACATGAGTAAGAACATTTGAAAACATACATTAATACAAACAACGTTATCTCAGTGGAAAGCGTACAATGTTGAACAATCGGAGAAATGACAAGAATTGAAGAAGACATTAACCGGCATCGCCAAAAACATATGGCAGTTGGTATTACAGCGTAGAAGACCGGGATACGTTAACTAGAGAGAGAATTTAGACAGCCTTTTCCAGAACTGTGCGAACTCACTGCGCCATGAAAGGAAAGAAATCAATAATGGTGAAATAGATGATGAGAAGAAATAAACAACAGATAGTATAAGTCAATGTGGCACCACTAGGTGAATGAGGAATGTGCCATCATTGGTGCACCCATACTACGCAAAACTCTGTCAATCCACAGTAACGGTCCGTTAAGATGAGCCTCGATCCAGCACGGAGTGGCATCAATCTGGAAATGAGGCCAAATCTTAGACCTAGTACCTCGAAATTGTTATCTAAAGAATTGTATCTACTAGATGAGCATCATGAACGCAATCTGTGCATATTTTTGGGATTAAAATCTCAAGAAGATAAAGAGTAGTGAGTTTGAGAAGAGTTGCAAAGAGTGCGGAACAAAAGACCAGAAAAAGCGTATGTTTACCGTTTGCCTTCGATAATCAGCTCCCCATCCTTTGACAAACGAGATTCGTATAGTGCAGAGACGAGTCAAAGCGTACACTGCTTCATAGCCCTTTTCAACTGATTCAGCAAGTTGGGCAGCAAATTCAGCGTTATTGAAAATTTTCAAGTTACAGTTGGGAGGAATCTGAAACCTCCGTAGTGAGACAATTACTGAAACTTGTTTAAAATATAGAATGATATAAGTTCGTAATGTTCGGCTTCCTCTTGACATTATTGCCAATCAACTCTTAAAACACACTTTACAAACAGTCGTTGGATGCCAGCCGTGGCGTTGGTTACAGTTAGGAGACTGGACAAAAACGGCCGCATCAGAAAGACACTCGCAGTACACCTGGAATGATTGCATCCTGGAATATGCTCGCGATAAAAGTGGAAACTGTCAACAATTGGTAATTCTCGCAAATTAATCCATCGGCGACAATGCGGTTTCCGCATCTGCCGTGGAAAACCGCACGCATTTTTCTTTGCGGCTTGATCAGAGGACATATTGTCCCAGAAGACAGTCTTTTTGACTACATAACATCAGGGGTCGCGAAAATTCATGGGAGGCGAAATAAGCAGGATAAACGACGGTGCTGAACACGAATCTAGCCTCCATTTTTTTCCCATTTTTTGCGCTCCTTTTGCAGTTAATTTTGCTGTAATCTAGGGACCAGGGGTAACTGACAGTTCTGAACACATTTAGCATCCATTTCTTGACGCCAGCGCCGTACGACTATTGTTGCTTCCAATTTCGCTGTGACCTTAGCATGAAAGTAAGTGAAGGTCCTGAACAAGCATATGGCACACATTTTTCCCGCCAAGTCACCCCTGTTCGTGAGCTTGTAACGAAATCGGTGCCAAAAAAGCGCCAGCGCCATGTGGCGTCAACATGGGGCCAAATGGCGCTGACGCTAGACCAACGTGTCTACAGATGCGTATGTCTATAGAAGCCTTGATCACTAAAAATTTAAACCGAGTTATGTAGTTTTGTGCTGCATACCCACGTCGAGCCGCAATGTCGCCAATGGGTTAAGCAAGCAAGAAGCAAAGCGAAATTTTTTTTTAAAAAGTTGCAAACACGCGATTGAGAGCTTACCTCTCCGCCAATATAATAAAACCTCGCTCCTCGGCCTACTTGCCGACGTGCATCAATTACAGGTACCGGACGATTTTCGACATCAAAGTATCCAAGGCAGAATCTGAAATACGGCAAATCCGAAGCTACCAGGTGACGCGCATCCTCGATAAAAGGAACCTTTCTTCGGAACTTGGCGAAGGATAGCCATCCACAAGTAGGTAATGCGATCGCACATTGAACGGATCACCAATGCGCTTCCCCTCTTCGTAGTACGTAATTGACATCCAACATTCCGGTTCACAATATTCGATGAGCTCTTGTACCACTATAAAAATTTCATAATCTAAAATGCAAAACGCAACAACTCTGTTAAGAATGTGTGGTGCTTACAATCAGCCCCGGAGTGACGTGGAAAATTGGAGGAAAATGTGTGATTACGATCATCATTAGTATCCATCATTTCATGTTCGTCACGATCTTCGCTAAGATACGAGTTCGGGCTCAGCGGTGACTGAGCTTGCGATGTTCTGCAAAGACACGTATTTCGAACTAAGAATATTTTCCACAAACAAAATCAATGAGCCAGTTGCTGGAGATAATGGGACTTGCTGCGAGAATGAAGTTGGTGAAGACGAGTTAGCTGGTCCAGTGCTTGACGCAGAAACCGATGACTGTGGTACAGCAAAGCGAAGCGGTGGAGTTGTTGACGAGGGTGAGCCAGTATAGCTGCTTGTCGGTGAATTCTCCTCAGACAGGTAGTGGGCCCGCATTTCGTCTACATTGATCGACGCATTAGGAGCACGCTGGAACTGACGGGCTACAAAACCACTCTAGCAGTATGCTGGTTGAAAAAGAATTGATCTCAGCGAAATAGGCCTCAAATGAATAGGAATTACGAGAGCAATAGCATTTTGGTAAGAACGTCTTGAGGAATAAAGTCAGCTAAAAACTAACGTCTTCGTACGATTGCGCTGCAAATCCGTGATTGCTGAGTGCAGCCATCGTAGCTGGTGCTGCCTGGTAGTACCCTGCCTTTTTGTTAACAACAACAGGCGGGAGAGCTGAAAATGTTCACAAAAAAGTACCAACATGCAAAAACACCAAGATGATCAAGCACCAAAACTACTTTCCCACAATGCGAACTCAGTAGAAAAAGTTTAAAACTCACGAGGTGCCTTTGCATGTATCGGTTCGTAATGGTAGGGGTTGATACAGACGAGATCCGCCTTTTTAGAAAAAGGATAGCGGCAATTTTCAACTGCTTTTAGTTCGCGATGAGACCTATAAAGTACCAGCTGAGAGTGCAGACCATAAATTCTTGTCATATTAATGAAACTTTCTCAACAAGTCAAAACTAACTTCAGCCATGGAAATCTCCACATCTTTATGTACAAAATGTGAGACCGATCCTTCTTCAGCGACTTCTTTTTGTCGGTTTCACTAAAGCAATTACAGAGCGATAACAATTCAAACGTTCAAGCAAAACACTCGAAAAACACACCTTGCTATGGCACAACAATTGGAATGGCGATCTTCATTTAGTATGGCTTTTGCCAATTCATCTAGGTATTTTGCCTTTTTTAGACGTTTGGCCAACGTTTTCACGACATTTTCAGCCCAAGCTGGGTCATCCTGGAACAATAACCAATGAAGGTTACTCATATAGTCATGGAAAAGGATGCAATTGAAGGAAGCGTTGCAACTTTTAAACAGCCTAACACTTACATTGCCTTCATGCGAAATTGTCTCGGTTTTGACCAATTCACACAATTGAGTAATTGTCTTATTGGTTGAGGCATTCGGCTCAAACAGAGATCGCATCTCTTTTCTACCTGGAAACATTTAAATTATTCAAAGCAAAAGCACATTCAGGTAGCCACAAGAATTACTTTTTTTAGAGAGGCTAGAAACAGCATTAAAATCTTTACATGTGGTGAACGTGAAAAGCGGTTCGCTCAAGTTGAATATCCTTCAACGAAATAGACTGCAAGCCACTGTGATCAAAAATGGGAGCAGTCGCAAGATGTATTGTGATGGCAATGCATTTGGAACCAGGGTGAAAATCGTGTCGAGGAAATAACCGCCTCTTTACGACCCCCCTCCAAAACATGGACTCTGATACGACCCCTTTTTGTCCTCTGCACATCCGGTTCATATCAAAAAATGCTAGTTTCAGATGTGCGAGAGGGACGCAGCGCCGCTGCCACGCAAATGCGGCTTGATCCAAATGCTAGATTCAATTCTGCTCAGATTAGGTTCTCCTTCTTTCCTTTAAAGACATTTAACCTTTGCCACATTGGCCGGAAAGTAGAACATTGAAGGAGGTACTGCCCCTACACAGTTGAACAGTCTCGCGCTCCAGTATAGCGGCGCTAACTACCCGCGATCGCGTCGCGCGCTGTGCCTAGAGCGCGCTAGTTGGAAAAATCGTCAAATGTACCCCCTATTTAAAGGACTATAACTTTCTTCATTGATAACCATTTCAGAAAGTGAAGGCAGCTTTTGAATGCACAAGACTTCTAGTTTCTAAATTGTGCTGAGCGTTTTTCTAAGCACGCCTATTCTCGAGAGTGGGAGACGTCGAGAAATTGTCGAGGAAATTGAAATTTACATGCGAGTTCCCACTCTTTGGAAGACAGTAGCTGTCTTCATTGGCAATGCTTTGAAAATCGGAGGAAAGCGTTGTAAAGTAGAAGATTTACGCTTTCTGATAGGTGCTCCAGTTGTTTCGAACGCTTTCTAGTTCGCGAGAAATCTGCGTCGAGGAAATGTCAAGGAAATTTTCGAAGCCACTCGAAAACTCTATTACTCCCTCGCCGTAGTAGGGAACTTCTTTGAACACCTTCAAAATGCTTCTGTACACGTCAGTTCGATGGAGTAAATTGAAAATGATGCACTTGGCGCAGATCCATTCCGTTCTTGTATGCGCCATGCAGTGACCCCACTCGGAGTCATTGGGAAGGTGTTTTGTCCTAGTGACGACTTGCTTAAGCACACCAAAAGATATTTCCAGTATTAACTAATTAGGATAACTCTTGTGGTCATAGTGATGTCTGATCATTCCTTTATTCAAATCGCTTCCTTTCCAACCCGTTCTGATGAATGACACGCTTGCGGTTGCAGGATCTGATGATGCCAAGAAGGCTGCGAATCTGCCTGTTTTGAACTTTCTACCAAGATGCTGTTCCTCCACTAAGTTCTCGAAGCATGTACATCATTCTAGAGTAGATACTCGCTGCCCTTTCCCTACGATTCTTTTGCAGGACGCGTTGCCTTCCTATGCCATACTGATCACTACGAACCAAACCAACAACCACTTTCCATTTAAATTTTAATTCCAGACAGTTGTAAGATATTATTTGCATTAGGCTAACTACAACACTTGTGAAACTAATGATGACAGCAAATAAGTGGCAGCAGCACCGTTGTGTCCGTTGATGAACCTTTTGATTACGACCCCCTCCCAACTCTCATCGGAGCAAATACGACCCCTGTCGAGGATTTCCTCGACCGTTATTCACCCTGGTCTGGAACGTTTTTTTTTCTAACACACATCTGTCTTTATTACCGTTGACGACACTGTGCTGCGCATGCGCTGCACACCTTGAGCACCGCGTGGGACCGTGTGCAGCGCATGCGGTTCGCACCAGAATTGCTTATTTTTTTCACGCATGCCCCATTTCTTTTCTGATTTTTTGTAAGCATCTTTTAGATAACTTCAAATAGCTTTTAGAACATTATACGAAGCGTTGACCATAAACGGAGTGATGGACCGAAAGGTTGAATATTCTTTACTTTAGCAAAGTTTTTCCAGATTCTACAAGTTCTTCAGTTCGATTCATTCCTCATTTTCTTTCTATTCTGTTGAAAATGAATATAAAAAAGAGCAGAAGAAGAAAGTATATAGGGAACTAAATCCATACGTATGGGCAGGATATTAGTCGTTCTAGCTTCGTATAGCAACTCGTCTGTCAAAATATTAATTTGAGTTCACTCTAGCAAAACAGCCAAAGTTGGCCTTTTCTTTGTCCAGGTTATCACGTGTTAATCAATTTGTATACAACTGGGACCGGGTTCAGATAGGTCTTGGTCCGAAAATCATTGAAAGCGTTACGTCACAATCTCGTTTTGCATTATTAAAGTTCAAAAATCAAGGATTGGATGTGAGGTGGAGGCTCCTGCGAAATCGCTCTGGTCCCACGCGGCGCAAAAACCCAAAACGCGCGGGTTGTGTAAGCGTGGGGCTTATTAAAGATATAGAGTAAGGTAAGAGGTAAGACATGTGTCTTTTCTTTTGTTAAAAGAGAACTAAGCCTTAAGCAGGGGAGGATGCTCCCGTATCATGCGACAGTGCCCAAAAATGTTCAGCTGGAACTGAAAAACGAAACAGTTTCATGAAGTTTTTTTTTTGAGAGTTCCTTATGAAACACCCTGCATCATTTGTATTGAAACAGTGTTCACTGTGAGGAAGAAGCTGCGCTATCAACTGCTCATTTGCTGGTAAAGCCGTTCGTTAATAATCTTCGTGATTCGACGACCGCACGGTTTTGGGTGTGCGTGACTAAGTAACGTGAAGTAATTTTGGAAAAAGATGATGTATAGTACGCAACGAGTGCAAGTGAATCACCGAATTTTTGGTTTTGCAAGGCGGTGTTACTGGAAAACTTCTACGAAGATCTGCGTCTCGCCGTGAGTAGCTCGCAGCTAAAGCTCGCGAGGATTAACTATCCTTGGGCAATTGTTGAAAATTACAGGGATAAACAAATAAATGGACACATAAACAAGCAAGTACGATCGAGTAAAAAAAACAACTGAAAACTGGCCTTTGAGGATGAAAGTAAGAAAAAGGACGAAAGACTTGAAAAATCATTAACTGGTTCGCAAAATGCTAGCTGAGCAATGAATGCGTCGGTCTTACAGGTGACTCATTGACTTCTGTACCATTGTGTAAATTGCGAGATCATCACGTGCTGTGCACGTCACAATTGCCAGTGAGGTACATAAGGCCGACGTCATACTTTGCGATTCGATTAGCGATTCGCTCAATTCGCTAGCGAATCGAGCGAATCGCTAATCGAATCGCAAAGTATGACGTCGGCCTAAGCGAGATGTTGCATGGGTGAAAGTGCGTAAAATTTAGTCTCTTAATTTGAACTACTGTTTTGTACGAGCTGCTAAAAAACTGCACAAAACAGTGCGATGCCGAGTGCTTGGAAGGTTAGATACAATCCAATTGTTGGATTAGAGCTATGTTCAAAAGAAATTTGAAAGAAAATGAAATTGCTTATGTGTCGAAAGTGAAGCAGTTTCGACATGGCGGAATACAAGCGTCCACTTCAGCAATGTGTAATCAAATCAGCCAGTGAACCACAGCGATGACTGTCACAGGAAAACTTTGAAAAAATCCTCATCTATAACCGGTAGAGAATACCATTGGAGAAATTCAGCGAGTTTCGTTTCACCTTCAAAGCTAGTGGAACATTAATAAGTCTTTGGTGATTTTAACAAAGGATGACTAAGGCCCAGTAATGAAAAGAAAACGAACAGCGAGCGGCACAAACAACCACTAAGTTAACAGCAACAAGGTGTCAGTGCCGAGAGATAGCAGGTGGTTATCAGTATGCGCGTTCTCACCCGATTCCTTGTGTCTTCGTCATCACAGAATGCCGTCAGCGGAAAAGAAAAAAGCAATCCCGAACGAACTCTCGCAATGTCACGTGGTCGACCCACTGAGCTCACTGTACACCAAATTAACATGTTTCAGCGGTCCTTGGAAAAAACGGGAGAGGAACTATTGAACATTTATGAAAAGTCCCATATTTATCCGTCCACCAAGCGCTTAGTCCTAATTCAATTATTCCATCAATTAGTGCCTATGTAAAATAGTAAGCTCATAAGATGAGGGGAGAGTCGAGGAAAGCCATGTATTCTTTGCCATCCAAACACACACTCCAGCAATACAGTTGGAGAGGTTGCCGCTTACAGCAAAACCTCAGCGGCTAATGCTCTTCAAGCGCTGCTGTACTGGGAGAGGGGGAGGGGGCACCGCAGCGCAGCAGTTCGTTTCAGCAACAGATCTGATTCTTCGTACGGGCGAAAAACTCCAGGGTGTTTGTAGCACTTTGCTTGTGTAAGAGGATGCTAAACATGTACTAGTGAAGATATTCTTCATGATTTTTCATGTTTGCTCTGCGCCGCCATGCCCTTCTCTAGTAAATCAGAGCCGCTCTTTACTTTGTACCTAGAAATGCGAAGTTGATGCCAGCAGTAAGGGACGATTTTTCTTAAGTAGTGATGCAAAGTAAATGCAAGGGTGCTAACCTTGTTGAGGGAGGGGCACGCGGTGCTCTAATCGTCTGTACCTCCCAGGGTATCCTATCCTTCCCCAAGGGAGACGCGCACCTCGCCGATGATCTACCTGTGGCAGAGGAAGACGGAGTTGCGTCATAGGAGCATCCATACTCTGCGTTTCTAGATTCCAGACAGCGCAACCCTTCAAAGAAAAGAGTGCGTTAGGGGAGGGTAGCTACAAACCACGCGTTTAATGACGGGTCATACAACGAAACCCTGTCTCCCTCAAGCTGAAGACAGAATCAGCGGCGGGAGACGCGTCCCCTACGAAAAGGATAGGATACGGCCCCAGGGTGAGGCTGGTGTCAGAATCCGTGATCCGTCGCACGACTCGCCCGAATCGCGGGACGAATCACAGAAATCACAAGTGCCCCGATCAATACTGCAAGGTGCTCTCCAATCCGCCGCCATTTTGGATGGTGATGGTTGAATGACGACTGTTCATGATTCCTACTTGTTTCATATTCAGTGTTTCAAATGCTCAAATGGGCCATTGCGATTTTTGCGATTGCCCATTTGAGCATTTGAAAGATTGAATATGAAGCCTTAGGCTGGTGTCAGAGTCCGCGATCCGTCGCAGGTTTCGCTGATTTTCGCGATTTGCGCGATTCACGCGATTTTCGCGATTTGCGCGAATTCTGCGACGGATCGCAAAAATTGCAAGTGTTGAACATTTGAAACACTGAATATGAAACAAGTGGAATCATGAGCAGTCGTCATTCAGCCATCACTATCAAGCAGAAGTGGCGGCAGGATTGGAGAACACCTTGCAGTATTGATCGGGCACTTGTGATTTCCGTGACCCGTCGCGTGAATCGCGCAAATCGCGCAAATCGCGAAAATCAGCGAAACCTGCGACGGATCGCGGACTCTGACACCAGCCTCAGACAGTCAAAGCACCGTGCCGCTCTGCGTTCCCCCGTCCCTCCCCCTCCCCTGCCTAAACTAAGTTGGCACCAAAGCAAATAATCACCCAATCCAGGGGCGGTATTCAATCCTTCCCCCAGGGGGATATATCCCCCTACTCTGATTCAATCCTCTGGGGGGACAAAAAAGGGTTGCGTCATAGGACCTAGCATACCTCTGTGTTTCTACCTGCCAGACAGTTAGAGCAGCGCGACCCCTCAGGGGAAAGAGTGCTTCATCAGTGGAGGGTAGTAGCGCTGCTCTAACTGTCTGGCAGGTAGAAACACAGAGGTATGCTAGGTCCTATGACGCAACCCTTTTTTGTCCCCCCAGAGGATTGAATCAGAGGAGGGGGATATATCCCCCT